GGCTCAGGCAATCCACTCACCTCAGCCTCCCAAAGGCACGGGATTACAGGCTGAGCCACCGAGCCCTGCTCCTTACATGTGTTTTTAAAAAGCTCCTTATTTTTTTAGTTTAATTCCCTCGTTGATTTTAGTGAAGTGAATGATAATAGAATGTGTTTCTATAATTTTTGTTTCATACTTTGAGTCACTGGAGAAACTCTAGGGCAAAAGTTCTCAAAGTGTCTTTCCTGGATTAGGAATGTCAGTATCATTGGGGAACACGTTAGAAATGCAAATTCATGGTTGCACCCAAGACTTACGCAATCTGAATAGAAATAGAAAATCAAGACCAAGAAAAGTAAAGGAAGGAAACCCAAAGACCCTATTGCTTAAGCTCTTTTCCCCAGATGGCCCTAATTTTGTGAGAAAATTAAAGGGCTCAGCAATTTTTAGCTTAGTAAGCCCTTCAGGTGATTCTAATTCAAGCTAAAGTTTAAAGATTTTATACAAATAAAAACCCTCAATCCTGGAGAAGGGCCTCTGGAAATATTCCTGCTGGAACTCTTGATTTAGCTCCCAGTGTGACTTGCTTCTCAGGGTCACACTGCCTCTTCCATTCCCTTTCATAGCTTCATCCCTACTCATTCTTAGCCCAGAGATTTGACTCAGAAAATACATTGGAGTATTTCATTCCTTCCCAGATAACTTGAATTAGTGTACATTGTATTTTCACAGTGGCAGCCCAACATTTTTCTTGCCACTTCTTTTCTTGTTAAGAACTAGCTTTGTTTTGGCCAGGCGCGGTGGCTCATGCCTATTATCCCAGCACTTTGGGAGGCTGAGGTGAGAGGATTGCCTGAGCCCATGGGTTCGAGACCAGTCTGGGCAACTTGGCCAGACTTCATCTCTACAATAAATAAAAAAATTAACCAGACATGGTGGCATGTGCCTGTAGTTCCGGCTGCTTGGAAGGCTGAGGCAGAAGGATCACCTGAGCCCAGCAGTTCAAGGCTGCAGTGGCCATGAGCATGCCATTGCCCTCCAGCCTGGGCAACAGAGGGAGACTCCAACTCAGAGAAAAAAAAAAACAACTATCTTTGTTTTGTTTTTAACTTAATAAATCTTGGAAAATATTATATATTTTTTTTTAAAAAGGAACAGAGTTTTGCTCTGTTGCCCAGGCAGGAAAGCGTGGTGCAATCGTAGCTCACTGTAGCCTCAAACTCCTGGACTCAAGTGATCCTCCCACTTCAGCCTCCATAGTAGCTAGGACTACAGGCATGTACCACTGCTTGCTATGTTTCCCAAGTTGGTCTTGCACTCCTAGACTCAAGCAATCCTCCCACCTCGGCCTCCCAAAGCACCTGGGATTACTCTTAAGCATGTTTGAGTTTCAAAGACGTCCTTAGGAAGTTGCTTCTCTACATAAGATAAAATTCCCATGACTAGTAAAAATAAATTTTTGGAGAGCCAAGGACACAGCATAGTAAAAAATGACCAACATTCTTTCACAGCAAATAATTCTCACGGTAGTTCTATTAACAATACTTCCAAGGACCCGCTCTTGGATCTGACTTTTTTACCCCCAACCCAACCTTATTACAAAGTCTGTCCTCTTGATCCCTGTTTGTGGTGCTGGAGGCAGAAGGAAAATCAAACATCTCAAACCCTCCATGTAAAAGAAGAACACATGTATATTGGGTTCACTGAATCCACGTACATACATAGAGAATCATGTCCCTTATACTGAACAAGTAAGGACCTGGGTTCTATCCTTGGGTTCCTCACAGCTGTACAGGCAGCAGCTTGAGGTCTCACTCTGGACAACAAAATGAGTCAGAAAGTTTGACTGTGAAATATCAACTTTAAACATGAGAGATGAGGGGGTTCAGGAAGAAAAATCCATCACATTGTAAAACTTCAGTAAAAGGCTTCATGCAAGCTGGGCTCAGTGACTCAACCTGTAATCCCGCGCCTTTGGGAGGCTGAGGTGAGTGGATTGCCTAAGCCCACGGGTTCAAGACCCATCTGGGCAGGCGAGACCTCATCTCTACAATAAAATAAAAAAATTTAGCCGGGTGTGGTAGTGCGCACCTGTAGTTCCAGCTACTCGGAAGGCTGAGGCGGAAGGATTGCCGGAGCCCAGCAGGTCGAGGTTGCGGTGGCTGGGAGCGGCCACTGCACTCCAGTCTTGGGCGACAGAGTGAGACTCCAACTCAAAAAAAAAAAGGCTTCATGCTCTAAAACCCCATGACAACTGCCATCAGAAGAATCAACACAATCACTCCTTGCTGTTAAGAGAAGAGCACATGTGCAGTCCTGCCATCCTGTCCAGCTTCATGGCCACCACTGTCCTCACTCTGTGCTCCAGCCACAGAGACCTTTATTCGGGTCTAGAAGCCTGCCATGCTTCTTTCTGACTCAGTATCCCTAGGAACCCTGTTCTGACCTTTCCTCCCCCGATCTACATCCAATCTTTCTGTAGATAATTCACAGTTGTATGGAACGGTTATTTGTAAAGTCTGTTCCTCTGCTAGGATGAAAGTTCCCTGAGGACAAAGACTGTGTCTTTCTTGTTCCCATCATATCTAGTGCCTAGCACAGTGTCTTTGGTATATACTAGATACTAGATCTATTGATTAATCATACCAGTAAATGAATGAATGAATGAATGAATGAAGCCTGGTGCTGACATGAGAGTAGGAATTTCCACTTATGTACTACTCTTAACTTGTAATTTCATTTTCCACATTTTCTTTCAGCGAGTATTCCCTGTGATTCACCAGACCGTTTCCGATGTGACAACAATCGCTGTATTTATAGTCATGAGGTGTGCAACGGTGAAGATGACTGTGGAGATGGAACCGATGAGAGAGAGGAGCACTGTAAGTCAAAGTAGTCAAAGGCGAGAAAGAAAAATGAAGGGCCCCAGATTGTCTGCAGTATGCAAAACTGTCCCTCTGGGATTTCAGTATGTTCTATGGAGGCTTGAGACTGCAGATTTCTGCTGACATAATTGTTTACAAGATCACGCAAACACATACATTACTCAGATGCAACTCTGCCCACTTCTTCCTATCTTGTTTATGTGACATGTTGGTATATTTCTTAATTTTTCAGTCTTCTCCCTCCCGCCATAAGAAAATAAGAACAAACAGAAAATACTGGTTGAGTCATACTTCACAAATTATTGGTTTATTTGTTTTCAAAGATGAGATTTGGTCATTCTTCAACCTGGAGTTGCTAACTGCTCATCTAGGCATGTGAATGAACATTCTTTTTCCATGCCCAGCTGCAAAGATCGTGTTAAGTAAGGCAGCACTGATGTTAAAAGAGCTTATCTAATAGCCTTCTTTAAAATGAAAATTCATTTCCCAGAAGAGAAAAATAGATAAGATTAGTTTAAAATAGATGCTTCAAGGTGGCTGCATTTAATATTTTAGGTATTGAAATATCTGCTTTTTCTTACTTTGAGAATGTTTTAAAATTTATCCATTGGAGGGGAGAGTTGATCAATTTTCTGGGCAATTTAATTTGACTAGAAAAAAGTCAGTGTGGAAAGTTATTTTCCCTGCCTCCAATTACTTTTTTTCCTAAAAAGGACATTATCTGGGAAATGAAGATAAATGCCTAATTTTTCCACTTTCCACCCCTTTCATTGATATGGCCCTAGAATGCTGTGCCTTAGAATGTTCAAATTCAGCTCCCATGCCAGAAGGGACTGTGTGTTCAAGGAGGGTTTTGACAGTGATGCAATGATTAAGTTTTTACTATTATTATTATTATTATTATTGGCAGAGATGTGTCTGTGGCTATAGCATTGTTAATATGTTTATTTGAGGCATAGAACAAAAGGATAAAAACCCAGAAATAAAACATTTTTCAAAAAATGTGAGTAGGTTTCCCCCTTCCCTTTTGCTCTTTAAATTTCCCCTTCTAAAAATGTCAATTTAAAAAAAATAGAACAAGACATTTCTAGCACATGGTCAAATCCCAGAGTGGAAAAGAATCAATAAATTTTTATTCTTTTCAAGGAGCAGGACTTTAGTCATAGGACGCATTGCCAGCCATCACGATGGGCAAACTTTAACTTTTCAATGACTTCAAACAGTAAAGGTTTATTTCTCACTCATGTAAAGTTTGATGGTGGTCAAGCAGCTCACCTCCATCTTATACACAGTCTTAAAGGATGCCAAGGCAAGAGAAGAGAGACATGGTGGAGACACACAGGTTCTTGCTTTCCTGGACCTGGAAGTGACACACTGCTGCTCACAGGCCACCGTCAGAACTTGTCACACAGCCCTAGTCTAACTGCAGGGGAAACTGAAAAAATGCTGAAGTGCCTGGATATTTAGTAAGTACCCACTCTTCCTACCACAATGGTGGTAGAGTCAGATAATGAGGGACATTTGGACACAGGAGCTCTTCCCAAAGCAGAGGCGTGACCTAATCAATAAATCTCCTCCACTCCCCAACATCTGCACAGGGTGACCATATAATTTACTCTGTAAGCCAATATGCTTTTGAAAGTGAAGGCGAGTGCTCTTAATAATTTCACCAGGACAACAGACATAAATCAGAACCATCTTGACAATATTTGTCATCCTAGCCCAGTGGTACTTCAGCATTGCTACAAAATAGTGATTGTAATGAATCTCTAATTCTTTCTTTCCAATGGGAGTGTGTATTTCAATTGTGTTGCCTGTGTTTTACCACTGTCTATTGGGGGCAGGTGGTACAGATAAAATTAGTCTATTAATTTATGGGTCTCCAAACCAAGAAGAACCACATCTGGAATTGATGGAGTGACTCCACCCAGAGGTCCTGTATCTCTGTACTGAATGGGATTATGAACCCATTTCCCTTGGGGAGGGGCAAAGAGTGTTCTGTGAGTGAGAAGACAAGCATAAAGGAATACTAAGGAGTTTCTCCTTGTCTGTTTTCCTCTTCGAACGAAGACGGAACAGGGGAATAGACCCTCATTAGGGGCCGCACAGCTTTCCCAGCCCACTTCCTGCTTGTAGAAAGTCTGGGGTCCATGAGTTTTTAAAAGTCTCAAATAGTCACAGAACTTTGGTTTATTGGTTATATGTTTCTCTCAGAAATCTATCAGGCTTTTAATCTGTTTCTTGTCAGTTCTGAAAGTAAATACCCTGAGTTAGTGTTCTTTTTGAGACATAATTCTCAAATCTGCTTCATTTCTTTGCTTTTTTTTTTTACCCTCATGTACCTCCATGCAACTGATTGTCACTTCCATTCAGATCATCTAGAAAAATAGATGGGCCGTCATGTGATCCAACTAAGAGGTTTTACTGCACCTTTGTTTTCTCAAAGCCTTTAAAACTTCAGACTCCTACTGTTTGGGATCCAGATGCAATTGGCTTTTCCATACTGCAAATTTCTGCGCTTTATTATTATTTTTAAAATTTCTATTTGAAAATAAATACGTTCTTCCCTTAGCCTCCCTCTTCCTTATCTCCATCTTTTTCTGCCTCCAGTATCAGTTTCCTTATTGCTTGCCTCCTGACTGTTAAGCCAATGCCAAATATTCTGTGTTTTTGTTATGCAAGTACCCCACACCTCTCATTATTCTGTATTATTCAGTGTAATTAATACTAGCTGCCACTATCAACAAATCCCAAAGTCTCAGTGCTGTGGCATAATAAGGACTTATTTCTTATTCATGAAGGTCAGCGCAGGTTGCACAGACCTGCTGCATCTCCTAGCTATGCCACCTGGAACACATGGCTTCTTAGCTTGCTGTTGTAGCCTAAGAGACATGAAGGAGGCACATGGACTTTACATTGCTTCAGTCATGTAGAGACATGTGTAGCTAACTCATAGTTCATTGGCTAGAACTAGTCACATGATTCTAACCCAGCGTCAAGAGAGATTGGGAAACTAGGAAAGCACTTGTTTATTTGGTAAGCAATAACTGTCTCTGTCACGGAAGGAAGCATCTTGTTTCATAGAAGAAAGTTTTGACTTTCACTCTTGTTCTTAAATTGCAGGTAGAAAACCAACCCTTAGACCTTGCACAGAAAATGAATTTAAATGTGGCAATGGGCATTGCATTTCCCATGACAGTGTATGTGATGATGCCAATGATTGTGGTGACTTTTCTGATGAAATGGGTTGCAGTAAGTAAATGCTTATTTTTATAATTCATTGTAGTAACTCAGGCTTATCCAATTAAAGCATGCAATGACATTAAGTGTATGACAACCACATATTTCTCCTTAATTTATTTTTTGCTCTGAATTTTAGTCAAACCCTTATCTACCTGTAATTGAGCACTTGTTCCATGCCAGACATTGGGCCAAACATTCTACATGGGTTATCTTCATTTCAATCTTATGGTAACAATCTTATGAGTCAGTTGTTATTAACCCTCCTTTTTTAATATACAAGCGAGGAAACTGACTTAAAGGGTAAATACCATAAATTGAACAGGTCTTACTGTCATTAAGAGGTAGAGTCAGAATTTGAACTCTGATCTGCCTCACTGCAGAGTACATCCTCTTCCTAGATCACCAGGTGCCTCTCATACTACATATTTTGTATATTAGTCTGCACATTTTAAAAAATCTTAAGCCAAGTACATTATCCTTGGCACTTGGAAAAACTACCAAAGATAATTGATCAAGATGAGAATACCACCCCAGACCTTGGAAAGAACATTTATTTTTATTTGTAAAGTGGAGGGAGATCTTTGTGTAGGAAAAGGATGATGAACATAGCCAAGAAGTGATTCTTGCTCAATATTTTGATGGGCATGTTGGAATTGCATGTTAATAATTCACATCTTTGTAATTTCTTTATCATGAAGTGCTTTCACATGCATTGTCTAATATGTACCCAGGTTAACCCCATTGGGTTGCTGTAACTGTCCACCTATATGAGGAAGGACTCAAAAAACCCCAAATTTATTTATTAAAAATTGTATAATTGTACATGTTTAAACTTCAGTCACCTTCAGTGTACTCTGTTTGGTGTACTATATCTATCGAGATGCTTTTTCCCTGCTCAAACTAGTTTTTGAACTAGTCAATTTTGATGCCTTTTAAGTGCAGTGAAACATTTCCCTTTGAGGACTTTTTCATTCAGGGAAACAAAGTCACTTGGGGCAAGATCAGATGAGTAAGGAGGGTGGAACCTGGGAGTCATGATGTTTTTGGTCAAAACTGCTAAACACTCAACTCAGTGTGGGCAGGTGTGTTGTCATGGTGGAAGAAGCAATCACTTGTTTGCCATAATTTGGGATGTTTCTTCCACAAATCATGATACAACCTTCTCAAAACTTCCAGATAAAAACTGAGGAACAAATTCTGAGTGTACTACACAGGGCCTGCCCTCCAAAAGATAGTTTCATATCTCTCCCTAGCTCCCCCATAGTAAAGCTAAGGGAGTTTAAAAAATGTGCTTGAGGTCACACAGAATGGTAGAGGTAGAATTTGGAAAGCCATGTGAGTCAAGGCTAGGGGAGCTGGCTTCTTGTCCTTCTGCCACTAGTTGCATCACTTTGGGCACACACTGGCCTCTCTAGGCCTTGGTTTCCTCACAGGAAGGAGGGAGTTCTGTTGACTTAGTCATCTTAGTTAGCTCCATGTGCTTTCAACTTCTTGGACTTTAATCAATTTTTTTTTCCTACGGCATCCGAAGGACTTTCTGTTACCTTTTCTTTTTCATGAGTTACAATGGGCCATGAATAACTAAATCATATTGAGTTGGTTTGCCATTTATTTCACATACCTTCTTGGTGGGGCTTGGAGTCATTGACAGAATGAAGTGACTTGATTAAATATTTTAAAAGGATGAACATGACATAATTTGCAAAACTGATTGGCAGATTTGGGTTCTGACACCAGAGACTGATATGTGAATGGTTCCAGGAGTTTGGACTATTTCCAAGATGGACTTGGGTTAAATATTGGTTTCTCTTTTAGTTTCCTGTGCCAGTTTAAAGGCTTAAAATTGACTACAGTGCTTGGTATTCAAATGCCATTTAATTAAAAGCAGGGTTTACTTAAAGGAAATAAGTAGGATAGGCATTAGTTCTGGTGTGGAAGCAGCTTCTCTTTTCAGATATTAAGTAGATATGTGATAGAGAATTTATTCTTACTTCTGTGGGAGAATAATTTGAGGCATAGAATTCTTAGTTTTTGGATGCTACTAATACATTTGCCTTTATTTTTTTTCTCCCTCCTTCTCTCTGTTCCTTCTCCTCCTTCCTCTTTATCTCTAAAAGGATCACTGAGGCCTTCAGGGCACATGTTTGATTTGTTTTAATTTTAAGGTGTGCAGTGTGATGTTTTGATATATAGTGAAGTATTACTAAAGTCTAGCAAAGTAGCATATCCATAATCTCACAGTTACCTTTTTATTTACTTTTGGTGGTAAGAGCACCTAAAATCTACTTTCTTTGCAAATTTCCAGGAATGGAAAGACATTAACGTTTTTCTAGCACCATTCAGATATAAAGAAAAGAAGTTAACTTCAGGATGCAAACATTACTTATGTGGTTATAAAGATAGATTGACTTGCTGTTTCTCTGTATGGTGGCTCTTATTCCTTCTTCATAAAATGGAAAGCTGAGTGGTTTTTTCATTTGTCTGTTTTTTAAATAAATGAGTGTCATATGCCCAGGTTTGGGGAAATTGGTTGTTATATGAATTAAAATGGTGATTGTTTTCAAATGAACAAAGTTCCAAGAAAGATTTCAAATTTGAAGAATCATCCCACAGTGGTTTTTTTCCCAGTTATATTTATTTATTTGTTCTTTTAAAACAATTTTTTTTAAAGATGTGAGGTCTGACTTACTCGAGGGAGCACTTGATCAAGAAATGTTTTGCTTCCTGGAACTCCTAATCCCCTTATAGATTTTAGAGCTAGGAGGAAATTACAAAGTCTAATTATGCACAAGATCCAAAGAGGTTATGTGACTGGTTCAAGTATACCCAAATTAGTAAAAGTAAGTCATATTTATTTAGCAATGTAGAGGGGACCACTATCAACCTTACAGAAATTTAAAAGATAAGAGAATATTGTGAAAAACTTTATGACAATAAATTAAACAAACCTGAGGTGGTATATATATATATATATAAACACACATATATACATACACATTTTCGGGAGGTTGGGCACAATGGCTCACATCTGTAATCCCATCATTTTTGGAGGGTGAGGTGGGTGGATTCCTTGAACCTCAGAGTTTGAGACTAGCCTGGGCAGTATAGTGAGACCTTGTCTCACAAAAAAATTAAAAAAAAAATTAGCTCATCGTGGTGGTGCATGCCTGTAGTTGCATGTACTTGGGAAGCTGAGTTGGAAGGATCGGTTGAGTCCAGGAGGTCGAGGCTGTGGTGAGCCTATGATCGTGCTATTGCACTCCAGCCTGGGAGACTGTGAAACCCCAACTCAAAAAAAAAAAAATCTATTTTGATTTGAAGGAATTGAAAAAGGCAACACCACAGTTTCTTTGGCTAAAATATTCAGAAGCCAGTAGACATTTCGTCTGAGAGGTAGATGAAGCTTGAATCCTTCAGGGAGACAACCACTGCCCCCTTTTCCCATTATCACTGATTATGTTCATATTACAAAATTCCTCTCTATGTATACCAATTTATTACTCTAAAAACAGCTGTATGACTTATAACTCTATACATTTTGCTATAATATATATTATACATAAATAAATATAAACTGGCAATATTAGGCAAATGATAGTCTTAAAATTTTATAATTTTCTCCTATTTGTATCTTTGTTCTAACGTGTATCAGTGTCTTTTATTTATACATCTATCTATCAATCTCTACCTAATCTGCCTATCTACAATAGGATTAATGAGAGTAAAGCAGGTGGTAATAGTTGTAGAATGTCTGGCTTCATAGTTCTGGAGTCCAGAATTGGATGCTCTGAGGGGAACCTGGCAGCGCTGCATATAATGAGAAAATTGCCTCAAGGATTTAACGTTGCATACATTTATGTAAGTGGTATTCAGGCCCTCACCAGAAATTAGAATCCCGTTGCTTCTGAATACCCCCTATCTTCTCAAAATCTTCCGGAAAGGGATCATGTCAAGATGTCCTGTAGTTGGCTATGGATATGTGCTCCTTTTGATATACCACTTGACTGTTCATTTGAGGCTGATCTGTTTTGTAATGCTGGAATTTTGCTGTTTTTTTTTCAGATATAGGAAAAGAAAGAACATGTGCTGAAAATATATGTGAGCAAAATTGTACCCAATTACATGGAGGAGGATTTATTTGCTCCTGTACAACTGGATTTGAAACCAGTATTTTTGACAGAAACTCTTGTCTAGGTAGAGTATATTTTCTCCAGTTCTCAGAATAAGGAGAATCTTATGCTTTTTAGGTTCTCTATTCACTCTCTTTTATTAAATAAATTACTATTTAATTTCCTGAATGGGTCTACACTTTCAGTTTTAGGTCAGTAAAAGACTCAGTAATGCCCATTGCTTTTTTTCCTGCAAGTATGCTATCTTACCAGTACCTAGCAAAGTGCTTAGCAGATAATATGTGCTCAGTAATATCTGTGGAATTAATATGAATGATGAAGGCCTCATTGATGATGGCTGCTTGTTGTACCAGCATGTGAGATCAAAATCTTTAAAAAAAACACATCTTACTTTCTTTAAACAACCCATATTTATTATATACCTACCTAGGCCAGACATAAATAAGTTCTCAAGTATGAAGTCCAAAGGTGGCTTATCAAGGTGGTATGTGATGAGTATGATTTGGGGTGTCTTCATTATTTGGATTTACTGTTTCTAACTCATGATGTGTCACACTCAAAAGATGGCAAGAGTTCATGCAGGAGCTGAAGCTTAAGAACTCAATCGAAAACTAAATCAGTGGTTCTTGTTCCTGAAGCTAGATAGCAGAAGGGAAGTGATACCAAACAACAAAACAGATGCTTTCTGAAAGGGAAAATGTGCCCTGCTGTTGCACAGAATCATGTTGCTTCAGTTTAAATCCTTTTTTCCACTGCTTGCCGGCTTTGGGACTTTGGGCTTAAGAGCCGATACCTCTTAGAGTTTTTTGGGAAGATTAAATGAGGAAAAAACATGGGAAGCATGTTCAACAGTATCTGAAACTTATTAAGTGTTGCACAAATGTTGATGTCATTGCTTGTTTTCATCTGCACTCTTTTCCATGCTCGCTGTTTACGAACATGAATTTAAACATAAGCAAGGTCTCTAAGGAATGGATGGGAGCAGATTTGCATATTTGGTTTCATTTTGCCTACAGACATCAACGAATGTGAGCAATTTGGGATTTGTCCCCAGCAATGCAAAAATACCAAAGGAAGTTATGAGTGTGTCTGTGCTGATGGCTTCAGGTCTATGAGTGACCGCTTTGGAAAACGGTGTGCCGCTGACGGTATGATGGATTCATGTCGGGATTAATCAGGTTTTGGAAAAATAAAATACTAATGAGTATGCCACTCTAGGAAATAAACTTTAGACTCTCGGGAGTCTTATTTTTAACCTGCCAGCTACTTCTCTTCCAATATCTCTTCAATCTCTCCACCTTTCTCCTTCCCTGCCAGCTTAAAACAATAGCTACACCCCCAACAAATATGGAGCAATTACAACAAGAGTCAGGTGTTATTTATTACTATGGATTTGTCCACCTTGATAAAAACTTCAAGAAGTGGACATGATGCCCCTCTCCAGAAGGCTCAAACAGAACAAAAGCTTGCCTGTGGTATGGTCATCAACAGCAGGAAATGAATGAGGGCCTCTAGTACCCAGTCCACTGAGATCAAGGTTTGCAGCCCAGTCGTCCAAGATGGCGCACAAAAACCAGTCACATTGAATCGGGGGCAAATCAAGGACACTTTTCTGACATATCCCCTTTTTGCTTTCATGGACTACTTATCAAAGACAGAAAGGAGTCTGGTATATTCATAACTTCAGACATTAGTTTTATATTTTCAGTTAATGCTAATAACTGAAAATCAGGCCTGATAAAAAGCAATAATAAATATTAAAGAGAAAGAATGTAAGTCAGAAGTTTTATACTCTAAATTTCAGAGGTCTGAGTGAAATCATCATATCCCAGATAAGGGGTATAGGTCTTTGTTGTGAAGTTGAAGTTTGTACTAGAGTTTAAGGGACTTGATCAGAGAATAGCATTTTATTTTGTAAATGGCCAAATACAAACTGGGCTTTTAAAGCATACGTTTGACTAGCATACTTAAATATTTTACCTTTTAAACATTGTTGACAGTGAATGAAAACTAGGGTGAAGGCATTTGAACAGTTGGTCTGATAACTAAGCATCTAATTTTTAAAAAATGCTTAAACCTTTTAACTAAGGAGATGACTGAAATAAAGTAGAATATTCATACAAAACATAATGTCAAGATAGAGGGAATATATAAAATTAACTTTTAAAAGTTACTTATATTGGATTTGATTGACGTTATGCAAGTAAATTAAATTTTAAAAATTCTAGGCAATGCATCTTGGAATGAGTCAGCATTGGAATAGCTCCTTTAGTTAAAAAAAATTTTTTTTTTAAATCAAGAACAAGCTGGGTTTTTTTTTTTTTGTCATCAGCTAGAAGCTAAATTGGGTCATGGAGCTGATTACCTGTTAAAAGAAACATAAAATCTGTCAATAAAGAATGAGGAATGAGACCTTCCTGGTAAACTTTTAGTAAGGCTATAAATGTATTTCTTTTGTGAGACTAAATGTCTGTATTCTTGTCTGTTTCAATGTCAGTGAATATAGAAAAACAATTCAGTGAAAATGAGGACTCTATGTAGAAGGTCTCAGTCTTACTTTGTTCTAAATTACCACTGAGGACAAAACATAGAGGACTGATAATATCCCTAAGAGGAATGTTAGCTTTCCACTTGAAATGGAGACAGAAAGTCAAGTCATGGATTTTGCAACCCAGGTGGATAGTCCACTTGATTGATTAATTAATAGAGATCGTTGAAAACTCATGTGTTTTAAAAAGTGGGGTGGGTACCTGCTGTGAATTTTATATCTACTTTATATTTTAAAAGTTCAGGTAGAATTCAGACAGATAAAGTAGATTTTTGTTTATTTACAGGTAACCCTCCTTTGTTGCTACTGCCTGATAATGTTCGAATTCGAAAATATAATCTCTCTTCTGAGAGGTTCTCAGAGTATCTTCAAGATGAGGAATATATCCAAGCTGTTGATTATGATTGGGATCCCGAGGGCATAGGTCTCAGTGAGTATCAACTTTGGCATCTTTCATTAACATTGACCGACTTTAATGAATTTTAAAGTATTTAATTTTGAAGAATTTATTTTTGAATTAATGAACTTTATTGCATGAATAAAAGAGGAAGCACCTCCTATTCAGCATACTCCTGAGGTCTTAGTATGGCATTGGGTCTCAGCTAATCTTTCCTGACTTTTCTCCAAACTTCTCATCTCTGGACCACCTCACATCACCTTGTATTTAAAAATCTCCTTGTCTTTGCTCATGCAGATCCTGTTCTTCCCTACCATTGTATGCCTGGGAAATTTCTACTCAGACCTCAAAGACCCAGTTCAAATGTCACCTCCTCTATGACATCGTCTATAACTCCTCCTGACAGAGTTCCATGATTGCTCACCCATGAGCCTGTAGCATTTTATACATGCTTTCACTAAAGCTCATATTATACTGCATTATAGAATCAGTTACCCACATATTTTTCTCTTTACTCCCAACCGTGTGCTCCTTGGAGACAGAAATTGAGTAAAATTTATCTCCACATGCCTCGTGCCTGACTCAACATGTAATATAGGGTATATATGGTGGACACAAAAAAATTTGGTTGAACGAAGATAAAGTAATGTTTACTGTTGAGTCTCTTATGGTTCTATATGGTGTGTAGCAGATGGTAGTGGAATAGGAGTCAGAAAATGTGTCTACTCTACTTGCAAACTTGTCTTCTATGCCTGTCTCCCTCATCCACTGTCTTTATCATTTTAAATAATTGTAACAATTCTCTGAATCTCAATTTTTCATCTGTAAAACAAGAATAGTAGTCTGTTCTCCCTGCCTATCACCTCTGAGAATTGTTTTGAAGACTGAATGAGATAATAGATGGGAAATGTTTAAAAACTCTCAATGACTATGCCAATGTGGGATTCACTGTTGTAATTTCACATGTATTCATGCCATACAGTAAACTTTTCAAGAATGGTAAATACCTAGAAAAGCAGCAGGCACCCGCCTTCACAGTCCTATGCTTTAAAAGTGCCTGCAGCCTACTATCCTTCTGTTTGTACATAAATCAGGACTTCTCATTGACATGGCGTTTTTATTGCCACTGATCTTGAGCATGATTTCAAATTCTCAACGGCCTGTCCTATCCTGGTTTATCTATATATTCTGTTTTGGAAACCAGAACTTGATCCTAATAAGAGTGAAAAAAAGACTCTTGGCCAAAATATATTTAAATGAATATAAATAGAGATGATTAAGTAGTTCTCATTAAGTTATCAGTTGAGGCGTCTGAAGCTAATAGCTCACGTATGATAGGTTTGAAGGCTTGATCATTATGACTGCTAACCTACTGCCATCTGCTCTACACCATATAGAGCTGTGAGAGCCATATAGAGCCATGAGAAACTCAACAATAAGCATTGTTTATTTTCTCCTTCATTCAGTTAAATTTTTTGGTCCCTACCACATATACACTGTATTAGATGTTGGGTCAGCTGCTAGGCATATGGAGATGAATTCCACTCATTTGTCTCCAAAGAGCACATGGTTAGGAGATGGAGAGAAAAATATGTGTGACGTTGACGTGATTGAATTATTCATATTATAAGAACAGCGAGGAGGTAGAGATGTCAATAAATGAACAGTTCTTCACCTGATTAGACCCCAGTTCCTCTCTTACCTGATGTTCTCCACTAATCTGTGTGTCTTCCTCCATAGGTGTTGTGTATTATTCTGTGCGAGGGGAGGGCTCTCGCTTTGGTGCTATCAAGCGTGCCTATATCCCCAACTTCGAATCCGGCAGCAATAATCCTGTGCAGGAAGTTGACCTGAAACTGAAATATGTAATGCAGCCAGATGGATTAGTAGTGGATTGGGTCGGAAGGTAAATATACACACATTCCCCTCTTGCCTATTTTATTTTCCTGGCTAGAGTTCTCCACTGCTCACCATGGCACATGAGTTAAGCTGGGCCCACATATGGGTACACTCAGCCACTAGTGCAGCTGGGCAATGCCTGGGCTTGTTCTAACCCCAGCCACCATCTCTACTTACCCCAGGGAGTCCTGGAGACATGATTATTGCCAGGATTCTGTGGCTGCCATGAAAAAGTTTGGGAAAGCATCCAGGTCACGATGCTCTACTAGATCTAGTAAAGCATTCTTGCCAACAGAATTCTGAATTACAGAATTAACTTTCAGTGTGGCAGCACTGTTCATTTTGTGACGAAATGAGATTCTTCACAGTATCCCAGCAAAGCAGATGAGATGAGACACTTTCCTCTATGGTAATTACCTCGGGGAGGAACAGTCCACATCTTGTGTTTTTAGCAGGCTATATGGTTGGAACAGGTTGGAAATTTGACTTTCCTCTTAGTTTTTGGGGTTGAGTTAATAAAGGTGTCAACTCTGTTCTGTTCTTCAAGACCAGGGGTCTCCAACTCCCAAGGGTTGGACTTGTAGTGGTCTGCGGTCTGTTAGGAACCAGGGCACACAACAGGGGTGAGCAGCGGGCAAGTGGAGCTTTGTCTGCTGTCAGATCAGCAGCGGCAGCATTAGATCCTCATAGAACGCGAATCCTATTGTGAACTGTGCATGGGTTGCATGCTCCTTATAGGAATTTAATGCCTGATTATTACCACCCCCCTATCCATGGTCCGTGGAAAAATTGTCTTCCAGGAAACCAGTCCCTGATGCCAAAAAGGTTAGGGACCACTGTTCTAGACCTTCTCATAGGGACCAAAGTCACATATTTTGGATGGTCCCTAAGTAAGAACCTTAAGTAGGGCCAACATCAGGTGGGCGTATGAGATGCAAACTGATGTGAAAAAGTTTATGAAGCTCCTTCATCAAGGAAGAGAGAGGGTTGAAACATTTCTGGGAAAGTGATTCCTTGAAAATGAAAAATATTGAGAGGGACAACTCAGGGGCTCACTGCTCTACTGGAGAATGGAGAGTTACTTGCAGTGCAAATTCATTTTCACCTTTTAATAAACTTGTCTAGTGTTCCTGGATGACTTGAGCACCTCTGAAGAAGTTAATTGGGTCCCCACTGTGTCTGCAGGCTAACAGGAGACTCATTGCAGCATTTTCTGTCAGGAAACAAGACCTCAGGGAACTGTTACTGGAGTCGGGATCTCAAAACTTGAGACATTAACACTTCCTTCTGAAAACCAACCAGGCAATAGCAGATCTGTCTTCTTGTTTGAAGTTTTACTTCTTTCTCAGCCTTAATGAATGAGAGAATTCAGAAACTGAAGGAACTTTTTCTGCTTGTTAAGAGACTGAGATCTGCAGCCTTAGAAGGTGAAATAAGGGCAGAATGGTCTTGAGTTTTGTTATTTTGGAAGGCAACTTCCACTCATCTTTGGAGCTGATGCCAATTCCTATTGATTCCAATGAGGCTGTTTGCCGAGGAGGAAATAGACTCATGGGCACTCAGAATTAAAGGAGCAGCCCAACAGTTCCTTATGATGCCTAGGAGCACATGCCTCATAATAATGCTGATCAGAGGCCAGTCTGACTGTCATGTCTACCATCATGACTGATCCTGGCTGATTCAGCTGCTCTGGCAGATTGGTCAGGAGACCCCTCAGTTCCTCACTCTTCCACGTGCAACCTGCCAAAGATGTTTCCTTGGCTAAAGAGTTTGTAGCAGTCCTGAGAGAGAGCCTGTACTCTGATGACGGGTGTCTGAGTAGCTGTCTCACCAGCTACAGCTTTTGAATGAAATGCTTTCATCTTCAGTCTTCTTCCCTAGGAATGATCACTTTAGACTTTGCAGTTAACTTTATCACTCTGAATTCAGGCATATTTACTGGTCAGATGCCAAGAATCAACGAATCGAAGTGGCTAAACTTGATGGAAGGTACAGAAAGTGGCTGATTTCCTCTGATCTGGATCAACCAGCTGCGCTGGTTGTGAATCCCAAACTAGGGTAAGTACTTGAAGAAGTTTTTAATGTTCTAGACATTTTCCACTGGAGGCTTATAAAAATCCATGTCTTTAATGACTTTTTTTTCTCATTGTACTGAAATTGTTGTCCTTCAAACTTTTGGGGGGCAGTAGCATCTATGATTGTTTCAAGAATTATAACATGCCCATGAGATAATTTAGGACCAACTATTTCTGATGGAGAAATTCTGTTGAGAACATACGTGAAAATCTATCTGGTTACATGGATTCCTTATTAAACCAGAGCCCTGAATTTTAAAGTTATTTGTGAATTTAACTGCTTTAAAAAAAGGTCTCATCAAAATTATTTTTCCTTTTATTTGGATTTTAAAAGGTGACTCATTCATTGAAGTTCAGCTACAAACTTAGTTATATTTCACTGAAAACAATGAAACATTTATATTCAAAATAGTAAATATTTAAAACAACACAAGTAAATATATTATCCATTTTTCTAGTTGTTTATCTGTAAATCACTTCAGTATAAATGAGAACAAATTTTGTCACTTTTCTTTACCTCTCATGACATTTATTTGGATAATCACTAAGCTGAAATGACTTGGTATTTACATATTAATTTAGCTTCATAATAGCCACAGTTTAAAATAAATTTTTAAAAATAACCCCAAATACTCCCCATGTCTGGGCAGGACCAGTATGGCCCTTTGTAGATATGCCAGTATTTGTATATAGAACACGATGAGTTATTACTTTGATTCTGTTATATTTCATATGTTAAAACTTATCCTCAGAAACTTAGCAATGACACATGAAAAATATTTTCCTGATAAGATTAACTTGTGATATAAACTTTTCCTCAATACTAGTTACTGCTTCTTGTTTCTTACCTATACAATCTCTCTGTAGCAAAGAGATGCAATGTGCTTTATGGTATGAGTGATGTGACTGTTCCCTGTGTGCTATTTTATTTTTTCCGAGAACATCTTTATTTTATTCTACTTAGTTCTTTTCTGTTTGGAATGGCTCAGTGTAGTCCTGGGTGGGAAAGGAAGTAACAAGGGAGAGAAAGGGTTTAACTGCTTAAGGCCTCGAGTCATTCCCTGTACCTCCTATTTCATGGTTCATTTGAGAGGCTAGCCATCCGTAAGTCTTACAGAACACTTGTGATATGTGAAATCTTACAGTTTCTATGGTATAAGATTTTCACTAGGTCTAAAGGATGATGATGATGATTACTAATGATAATATCAACTAGTAACAAGAGACAACATTTATTACATTCTTACTACGTACCAGCTGCTATGCTGTGTACTAAATACATAAACTCATTTGAGTCATGCAAAAGACATATAAATTAGTTATAAATCTCTATCCCCTATTTACATAGGTGGATAAAATAATATCATGTTCCTTTATTCAATAATTGTTGACCATGATATAAGGTAGAAATGGAGCATTGTCATGAGGAAACTACTGACAAACACTGTAATAGTTAAAAAATTTTTTAAGTGTATAATTCAATGGCTTTTAGAAGCTATATGTAGAAAGCAGCATTGACCTGAAGGTTGGAGATTGGGCTCTATTGGGAGTATAATAGATCTTCAAGTATGATACAAGAAATCAAGTGTGGTTGGGAATGAGAAGGGGCCACGTCTTGGAGGAGATGGGACTCAGATAGGTCCTGGAAGGATGTTTTGGCTATAGGAGGCAAAGGGGGCAGGCGGGTTGTTAATAAGCTCAGTAAGTAACATTAATGAAATCATAGTAGGAAAAAAAAATCATTCTTTGTACTTGTTAAAGAAAGTTTTGAGTATTAACTACCTTAAAAAAAACTTTATTGAAATATAATTTACATACCATACAATTTACTCATTTAAAATGTATAATTCAGTCTGGCAGGGTGGCTCAAACCTGTAATCCCAGCACTCTGGGAGGCCAAGGTGAGAGGATTGCCTGAGCCCACAGGTTCGAGACCAGCCTGGGCTCCTTGGTGAGACCTCATCTATACAATAAATAAAAAAGTTGGCCAGGTGTGGTAGCACATACATGTAGTTCCAGCTACTTGGAAAGCTGAGGCGGAAGGATCGCCTGAGCCCAGTGGGTCGTTGCTGGTGTGGCCATGAGCATGCCACTGCACTCCAGTGTGGGCAATGGAGTGAGAGATGCCAACTAAAAAAAAATTTTTTAAGTGTATAATTCAATGGCTTTTAGTATTTTCAGAGTTGTGTATACATCACCATGGTTTTAGAGTATTTTTATCACCTTAAAAAGAAACCTTGCCCCACTTAGGCATTATCCCTCAGCCCCATCCCATTTCTTTCCTCTGAGTAATAGCTAATCTGTTCTCTGTGTAGACTTGTCTTTTCTGAACATTTCCTACAAATGGAATCCTACAGTATGTGGTCCTTTGCAACTAGCTCCTTTCATGTTTGTGTCATTTTGTATGAAAACAAACAAAGCAAACAAGGTGATATTTGCCAGCTGTTGAGACTTAAGACCTCTGGACACATTTTTTCCAGAACCCAATTTGTCAAAAACCCACACATTACTCTGTATTTCTGGCAGGGAAAATCAGAGGAACTGATAACACCAGGTGGTCTGCCTTCTTGGGTGGCGCTGGCTGGACCTCTTATGCAGGGTCTTGCTTTCCCTAAAGCTGATATTCATAACTGGGCTGTTTCCCTCGTTATCTTACTTTTTCTGGGCATTTGAAGTGGTGTAATGCCTGATCTTGGTAATTCTTCAGTGTCAGTTCATCTATGCTTATATAGACTCTATCTACAACTACTTATTAATTGGATGCAAAATATGCTTTTAAAAAGTTAGAAGTAGCACCATAAGAGTAGAAACCTTTGTTTTGCTCTCTGATCCATGACAAACACAGAATGTGCCTCACACAATAGTCCTTCAGTACCATTTCTTGAAGTATAAACAGCTTTTGTAGTATGTACTTGAAAGGCCCTGAATGCCCATCATTCAGCTGATTCTATTAAAAAAGTGCAGTGTTCAGGAAAGTTAGAGCACATATGTTTTGCCCCTGATTTGCACTCCCCAGTTCTGCAAAGTATAAACACAGGGTCACTTAGCACCCAGGTATTTGCAGAACACAGTTGATGACCCTGTTGGTAGTGCTGCATGATATGCTGCAGGGTAGAAATCCGTTAGGTGACATGATACAATGAAGAAACTTTCTGTTACAGGCATATGTACTGGACGGACTGGGGAAAAGAACCTAAAATCGAGTCTGCCTGGATGAATGGGGAACACCGCAACATCCTGGTGTATGAGAACCTGGGTTGGCCAACTGGCCTTTCTATCGATTATTTAAACAATGACCGGATCTACTGGAGTGACTTCAAGGAGGATGTTATTGAAAGTATAAAACATGATGGGACTGATAGGAGAGTCATTGCACTAGAAGGTAAGACATGAGTTCAAATTTAATGTGTTAAGTAATTACTGTACTTCTGATCTCTTTGCCCATTTTCTCAAGAAAATGCCTTGATCTTAGGAAATGACATATCATTTTTTTTAAAACCCACCCCCAACTCTTCCAACTCTCCGTTGCTGAACTAAATGCAAATGAATCCATTAGCAATAATTAAATCTTTTTCTGTTCTTTTTATATAATTTTAAAAAATGCTTCTTAGCAGCAGATATTGAAATAGCCAAGATTCCTGTTGGATTGCCCTGTTGGAGGTGGCCGCACATGTACCAATGTTAATCCACGTCTAACTGCTTCTGGACACACTCATGTGTTAACTAAGTTGTTTATTATGCACAACTGGAAACATCTAGAAGGAGAGAAACATGTTGTTTTATCTAGACTCTGAAGAACTGTTATGACCTAGCACATATCACGTTTTTTTCTATCTGACAGGTAGTGTCTTATGTTCAAAGGAAACAATGAAATGCTTGCCGTACAAGTTGTTTTCCAAAAATACAATAAAATCAGCAACTTGAACGTGAGCAAGGGCCCTGTGATTAGTGTCAGATGGTATGCAGTCATCTGGTTTAATGTCTACCCTCTTTCACAGAAAGTCTGCCTGGATGTTACTAGAGCTTCAAGACATTGTGTTAGAAACTGATTCAAGCGGAATGACATCAGATCTAGGAGTGGTGAGAGGGCGTTTTCGTTTCAATAACCTTGTCTTGTCTTGTGTTTTCCCCTGTGGGTAAGCAGCAATGGGTCCTTACAGTCTGGACATCTTTGAAAACCAGATATACTGGATATCCAAGGAAAAGGGAGAAGTGTGGAAACAAGATAAATTTGGGAAAGGAAACAAAGAGAAAAAACTGGTAGTGAATCCCTGGCTCACTCAAGTTCGAATCTTTCATCAACTCAGATACAATCATTCAGGTAATCACCAACTTTGGAAAAAGATGCTCCTCGTGATCTGAAAACTTTGTTGGAAAATGGTAGTGAATAGTAATAGATAATCTCTTTGTGCATAAAAGGGGTGTGTGTGTGTGGGGGGGAGGAGTGTTTTAACCATTTTGACCAGAGAAAGATAAAAGCGGAGGTTAAACGACATTTTGCAAACCACCAATATATATGAAGTGAAAATATTTCAGTGTTCATTGTTATTTGTTGTTTGGAGTTATGGATCTGTACTTCCAGGTCACAGAATCTAGCATGCCTCAGAACCCTGTTACGTGTGAGTTGGGTTAACAAGTCACACAAGTGATTTCGTGGACATCAGCAGTCGTAATGATGCTTGTTATTGCAAGGCCAGGCTACTGAGGTTAAACTGACATATGGGAGGCTTAGTGTAAAATGGTTCATCATGTGCATTCCTAACCCCCTCCTCTTCCTCAGTTTCTTTGTTGCAGGTCCTGCTTCAGCAGGTTACTTGTGTTTTAATTCATCTGTCTAAAGTGTGTGGAGCAAAATGAAGGGCAAGGAAAACTTTTGAAATGAGAAAAGAAAATAGCCTTTTACTATGTTCTCTATGTCAGATTCTCTCTTCAGTGCTATTCTAGACATTTGTTACTTCAATTTCCTAAGGGCCCCCAGATCCTTATAAAGACATTTTACTCTCAGGCCAGGAGCAGTGGCTCAAGCCTGTAATCCCAGCACTTTGGGAGGCCGAGGCAAGAGGATTCCCTGAGCCCAGGGGTTTGAGACCAGCCTAGGCAATTTGGTGAGAGCTCGTCCCTACAGTAAATCAAAAAATTAGCTGGGTGTGGTGGCGCACACCTGTAGTTCCAGCTACTTGGAAGGCTGAGGCAGAAGGATCGCCTGAGCCCAGCAGGTCAAGGCTGTGGTGGCTGTGAGCATGCTAATACACTTCAACCTGGGTGATAGAGTGAGACTTCAATTCTAAAAAATAAAAATAAAGACATTTTACTCTCACCTCAAAAAAGGAAACTGAGGCTAAGAGAGATTTAGTAATGTGTGCACCCAAATCACAAACTAACGAATGAGTTTTAAACTCAGCAATGAAATGATTTTTAGGTTCAAGTCTATCCGACTCAAAGCTCAGCATCTTTCTGTTTTAGCCCAGTGGTCAGCATGCCCAGGCTGTGTGGCCATCCTCCCTTCCCCTCCCTGTATGTGAGTCAAGAATGGAGTTCGAGGTTCTTTTTTTTGTTGTTGTTTTTGCGACCTTTAATCATCCTTGGCAAATTGCAGCTCATAGCTGAGACTTAGGAGCCTACACTGTTGGCAAATGCCTTTTCTCGGGAGTAGCTTTCTCGTTTTGCTGGTAGTAGTCACCTCTTTCCAGCCCCTCTCCAGCACACTCCAGATCCTACCAACAACCTAAGTGCTCATGTAGCTCTCACATTTGGCTGCTGGGGTTTTTTTTGTGTGGTTTTTTTGTTTTTGTTTTGAGTTGGGGTCTCATTGTGTCACCCAAACTGGAGTGCAGTGGTATGATCACGGCTCACCACTGCCTCTGTCTGTTGGGTTCAGGTGATCCTTCTGCTTCAGCCTCCTGAGTAGCTGGGACTACAGGCATACACTATCACACCTAGCTAAGTTTGTAAATTTTTTTGTAGAGACACAGTCTCACTATGCTGCCTAGGTTGGTCTTGAACTCCCGGGCTAAAGCAATCATCTCACCTCAGTTCCACAAAGTGCTGGGATTACAGGCATGAACCACTACACCCAACTACACTTGGCAGTTTTATAGGTAGGGTAAGAGAGCACAGTATACCTGGCAAGGGTCCTCTCTGGCCCCTCTGGAGAAGGCAGACGAAAGTCTGGAGACAGCCTCTAAAGGAAAAGTCTCTCAGCTCTAGGACCTGTTTGGAAAGTGCTGATGGAGATGCAGGCCAAGGCCACAGGTCAGCTGGGCCAGATAGCATCTACTTTGAACCAATTCTCAAATTTTAGCATGTATCAGTATCATCTGGAAAGCTTGTTAAATATACACTATTGGGCTCCACCTTTGATATTTATGATTCAGTATGTCTAAGTATTTGCATTTAACAAGTTCTCAAGTGATGCTGATGCTGCTGGTTCAGGGACCACATTTTGAGAAGCACTGTTCCTGTCCCTTGCTACTCAAAGTGTGGGCCATGGACCAGTAGCATTGGTTGGGATTCTATGGGAGTTGGTTAGAAATGCAGACTTTAGACTCCAGACATTCTGAATCAAAATCTACATTTTAACAAGATTCCCCAAGTGATGTGTTTCACACTGAAGTTTGAAAAACTCCACTCTGGAGAGCTGGCAAAACAGTAATGGAACAGATTTTGACTGAGACTTTTGGAATACGTCTTATTGTTTTATAGCCTTGTCTGTGGTTGTGGAGAACCAGGGTTACACAGAGTTAGTCTGAGAAGGAATTTAAGTATCATCAAATCCAGTGTAACCCTTGGATAAATAATAATATATGCTAAGGTAGAATTCACAAGATTCTGCCTGAGGAGCTTTTAATGGTAATACTTGAGAGCTCTATCCCAGACCAAATCAGAATTTCTGTGGATGAGCATTAGTATTTTTTAATAACTCCCAGGTGATTGTGATGAACCATAGTTCTAATTTCCCTTTTCTTGCAAATAAAAACAAAAACAAAAACTGAAGTTCAGAGGAAATTTATCCTTTGGAGGGTTTGGGTAGAGATCGTATCCAATGTGAATAGACCATATGTTATGATCTATCCAGGTTTGGGTATTGACAAATCTTTGTGTAATACTGGGTTCTCACTTGTCTCACTTGAACCATCTCAAGTTGTTTAGCACTAATGAGACTTTGAGGCTACCCCCATTCCAGGGCAGTTGTGAAGATAAAGCAATGCCATTAGAAAATGCGAGTGGAACGGATGTGGGATTTGAGGGCATGGGGGTGGGTGGGCTTTGTCATTTTGGTGGGGACAGGGATGATACAAGGGTGAGAAGCCGGGTGACACATGGTCTAGAGGTGTTGGGATGCTGCCTGGATTCTGCTGGGTGCGGATACAACCCCATTGCTAGGTGTATCCTTGGTTGGGGTGTTCATTCTCCCATCAGGACCTAACTGCTGTTCTCATCTGCTTTCCAGTGCCCAACCCTTGTAAACAGGTCTGCAGCCACCTCTGCCTACTGAGACCTGGAGGATACAGCTGTGCTTGTCCCCAAGGCACCAAATTTATAGAGGGGAGCACCACTCAGTGTGATGCAGGTAGGGTCATTGCCTGGATAGTTATAGGGCCTGGGAGAGCTCCTCTGCCACCTTCAGGAGCCTGAAGAACCCCCGTGTACTGGGTCCTTTGCAGAATAGGAGGGAATGGCTAGAAGGAGGGGTGAGAGATGTGGGAAACATGAACAGAGCCAAATGAGACCTAAGGAGGCAAACAGAACTTGTGTTCCGATGATTTCTGAGAATTATTTGCTAAGATCTGTAGAGATATAGGTCTAGTACCCCTAAATCTATTATTGTGTTATTTCGTGAAGATGTTTTGAAGAGTGAGTTTTTCTAAGACTGCCAACCCATACTAGATTCTGATTGCCCCGGAGTTCTCTCAACCTTAGCTGGAGTTCCTCTGAGCAGAGAACCGTGTTTCTGAGGTAGAAGATGTGTGTACAGTGCAGACAAGAGGGCTAGAAGATGTTCACTGATTTTCTCACATACTCATTTCAAAGTTTTGCCAACTGAAGAAGGGCCACCTTTTGAGAGGTACTCTATGTTCTTGGGAGATGAAGGCTAAGATAAGGAAGCAGTGGTTTAATTCTTGTCCCAAATACTGTGGATGGTCTATTATTGGTAAGATCTTTTTCCAATGGCTCTTTTAAATTAAGGAGTTAGTCAAGTCATGGGGAATAATTAGTGTCCATAACTAGTATCCATGCTGAGAAGCATGTTAAAAAAAATCATCTTCCGGAGGCTGAGGTGAGTGAATTGCCTGAGCCCGCGGGTTCGAGACCCGCCTGGGCAGTGAGACCTCATCTCTACAATAAATCAAAAAATCAGCTGGGCGTGGTGGCACATGCCTGTAATTCCAGCTACTCGGAAGGCTGAGGTGGAAGGATCACTGGAGCCCAGCACGCCGAGGCTGCGGTGGCCGGGAGCGGCCACTGCACTCCAGTCTGGGCGACAGAGTGAGACTCCAACTCAAAAAAAAAAAAATCATCTTCCAGTTTATTAATGGGCCCATTGTATGACACATCTTTGGGGCCATCCTCAGTTATAGTTGATGGGGAAATAAAGAGGTGTCATCACTTTCTACCACCAGGGGGAGCAAGGGGTTAAATAAGGAGTGGAGAAGTTGGTTGGTTTGGGGAATGAATTTAAGGAGAGGAAACTACTTTCCTTCTCTCTTCCCCTACTCCCAGGGAAATATTGGCAAGATTCTAATATTTTGAACAAAATGAGAATTTCAAGCTTTTGAGATTTGTTCTATGCACTAGGTAGTTCTTGCTGGTATTCATTTGTTCTATGCTGGAGGTGGACTGTTCTGACTGAGGTTCACTGCAATTTTTCATTGTAGGAGAGATGTCGTCCAAGTTGTCATCTCAACTACTACTTTTCTCATTTAAAATTTTTGCCAAGTGGTTTATATTAAGTTTCTTGTGCACAAAAACTGTAACCAAAGTAAGCACTCCAATGAAGGTGGTCATTCCATTTAGGGCCTTGGTTTGGTATATTAACTAACAGTTAGTTCAATAGATTTATTGAGTGCCAACTATGTGCTAGGCACTGTTCTAAGTACTGGAAATAGCAAGCGGGCAAACAGATCCCCTGCATTCATTGAACTTATATTCTAATAGGACAGTAAATAGAGAGACCAATAAATATATCATATGTTGGGGGTGGTAAAAGTATTATGGAGAAAACTAAAGCAGGGTAAGAGGCATGCTGATGGTATGAGTGGGGTTGCTTCTTTAGATAGTGTTCAGAGAAGGCCTCTCTGATAAAGTTAACTTTGAATAGAGATTCAAATGGAAGGCCTGAGTCTGAGGAGCATCCCATCTTCTTAAACAAAATATTCATGTGATATGCATACTTATTAAGCATCTCATGACCCATCGGGCACATCCAGGGCATGTGTAGGGGCTGAACCTGAGGAGGGACCCAGAGTAAAGGCAGTTTTGGAGGACTTTGAAAATGAGGAGATCAAATAGCCAAGTGTCTGTAGCTATGTGGCTGTCTATTGACAGATTGATCACTGATGCTTTGGTGCCTTCAACTGAAGCTTCAAGGTGTGCTTACGTTAAACCCTTGATTTTAACTGGGCTCACAGAGGAGAATTCTGAAAACTTCAAGTGAGAATGTGAACATCTTAAGAAATTTTTTTTACCACGAGTTTCTTTTAACTATTAATATATGCTCTAGGATCTAGCATCTTGCCACCGTTTTGAGGCGGGGGTTGCAAAAATGGCCCCTTTCTTTCTAATAAATGTATGTTACTCTCCAAGACTTTATTGTTGATTAGAAAATTCATGTGACTGAGAGAGAAGATGAGAGAGAAGGTTAAGACTAATTAGCTGCCCCCCAAACCCCCTGGGCAGGCTTTCAGGTGTGAGTACTCCACTGAGGATGGCTGACTAACACTGGCTTGGCTTTCCTTTTCTGCAGCCATCGAACTTCCCAACACCATGCCCGCCCCATGCAGGTGTATGTATGGAGGAAGCTGTTATTTTGATGAGAATGAACTCCCCAAATGCAAGTAAGTCTGAATGTGTCTGAGCTGCAGGTCTTGCCTCTTCTGGGGGAATTTGAGACCTTAAAATAGCCAGGAAAACAAGTATAGGAACCTTGCCAGTTCACTAATTTTTACATGTTATCCAGCTTGCCATCCCTTGAGGAAGTCCCAGAGAACCCAGGCAGTGCTTCTCAAGGTATAATTGCATACGCATCACCTGGGAGACTGATTCAAATGCCTATTTTCATTCTCAAAGATTTTGCATTCCTAACAAGCTCCGGGTGATGCCACGGATTTTTGGACCACACTTTGGGGAGTTAGAGAAATGGCAACAGCATTTTCTTGCTCGCCTGGTATTGTTAATGACAGTAGGATAGTGGGAGAACAGCTGTCAGCAGAGCTGCCTTAGTACATGGCATCCACGACAAGCAGAAAGACTGGGCTAGAGATTTGGAAAGAAGATTACTCTTCTTGCTGTAACATGGAGCAAGATAAACAGATGTCTTTAAAAAGTATTTAATGAAGGTATATAAAAGGATAGAACACACGGCCATAGTTTCCATTTTTTACTCTCTAAGAATTGCCTAGATTGGGCCAGCCATGGTGGCTCAAGCCTGTAATCCCAGCACTTTGAGAGGCCAAGACAAGGGGATTGCCTGAGCCCACGGGTTCAAGACCAGGCTGGGCAACTTGGCAAGACCTCATGTCTACAATAAATCAAAACTTAGCCAGGTGTGTAGCTATGTACCTGTAGTTCTGGCTACTTAGAAGGCTGAGGCAGAAGGATTGCTTGAACCCAGCAGGTTGACGCTGGGGTAGCTGTGAGCATGCCATGGCACTCCAGGCTGGGTGACGGAGTGAAACTCCAACTCAAAAAAAAAAAAGAATTGTCTAGATTGGAAACCAATTTGACGACGCTGACCCTGTGGCTGCCACAGCTACTCCATTGAAAGTGAATTTCTAAAGTCAGATCACTGTTCTGTTTATTCTTGGCAGAATAGACAAAGGCCATGCAGGATACATTGTCTGTTCAACATGTAATTTACTCAATTAAAGCTTTCTCTACCTCAGAACGTGGCTCAAAAATTGCAGTAGAAGCCTAGGAAAGCAACAGCTAGCCAATGATTCTCCTTTTCCTTTTAGGTGTCCTAGTGACTATACTGGAAAATACTGTGAAATAGCGTTTTCAAAAGGCATGCCTCCAGGGACAAGTAAGTTTTAAGAATATGAGCAACATGGAAAAGCTCACGGTTCCCACAGCGAATGCTGCCATAGATATTCTGTTTAACTCAGTCTTTGAAGTGGGAATGGTTCTGGCCTTCAGCTTCTCCTGAGTTCGTTGGCTCTTGCGGGTTGATATGTTTGATTCTCTTCCTCTTTTACAGCGGTAGTAGCTGCGCTCTTGACAATCCTCTTGATCATCATAATTGGGGCTCTGGCAATTGTTGCATTTTTCCACTACAGGAGGACGGGCTCCCTTTTGCCTGCCCTGCCCAAGCTGCCAAGGTCAGTTTCATTGTGTGGAACATTGGAACATTTGAACCCACAGTTCGAAGCCTGTGGGTTGTGATCCCCTGAATAACTTAGTTCTCTTTTTAAGTTAAAAAAGCCCAATACGAAGCTCACCTGTTTTACAGAAACAAAAATAGTGAGGATTTAAAGCAGTCACTTCAGATCACAACTTCCTAATTGAGCACTTCTCTAAAGGCTGAGAGACAAATTACATTTTATACTCCAAACAGTCTTGCCTACTGAGCAACAAATTGCATTTTATAGTCCAAATGGTTGTGCCCACTGGCAGGTGTTCAGGTCAGCCTGGGCTTCATTCCTGTAAGTGCCCGGCTGGTTCTCTCTTAGATCTCAGGGTTCGGGAATGTGCTTTAGCACTTCCAGAGGCCTAAGGGAGCTTACTACATATTTGACATGTGTAAATTTAGAGTGAGAATTGAGCATTTCATTTAAATAAGATTTAGTGATGTGGAGAAAAGGATACTATTGCAAAAAGATTTTTCTTTCTTTCTTTTTCATTTTTCAATAATAAGACACCGTTTTGGTTGCTTCCTTCCAGCTTAAGCAGTCTTGTTAAGCCCTCTGAAAATGGAAACGGGGTGACCTTCAGATCAGGGGCAGATGTTAACATGGATGTTGGAGTATCTGGTTTTGGGCCTGAGTCTGATATTGACAGATCAATGGCAATGGTGAGTGTGGCTTCAAAATGATTATTTGAAGGTTGTCATTTTTACTGTTTTATAAAAGAAACACTTTTTATAAAGAATAAAATTCTCCTAGAAAATATTGAAATACAGTAAGTAGACCTCTCGGAATAAAGTCTGTACTGTACAGGCCAAATTAAGAAACATTAAGTTTGTTGCAGAAGGGTATCTAAAAGCATTGGAAACATTAATAATAAAATTGAAATTTACCCCTGCTCTAAGCCACACTATTGAATTGGAATCATAAACAGTCTTAAGTTTAATTGGAATATTAAAGAGTTTTGTGGATTTTTGTGGGAGAGGTGGAGAGCACATAATATTTTGTTTTTATTCGATGATATTTTGCATGCATAAAAGGAGTAGAATACTATATTTTTCCTAGTGTCATTTATTTTTTCACCAATGTGTGATGACAGAATCAACAGCGATTTTAAGTCAGTGTTGGTTTAAGCTGTGGCTCTGCCACCGACAAATAGGTATGGAGCTTGATAGCTTGGACTTTTACTGTCCCCATCTGTAAAATGGGCATAATAATGCCCCCTGTGAGGATCAAATGACATACTTTATGAGGAGACTGGTACAATCTTGGCACACAGAAATCAGTATTGGAAAACCACTTTCAGTATTATGTTTATCCCCTAAATCTTTCGTTTTGGGCCTTGCCTGACAATGTAAAATTATCCATTCTTTCTTCTTTTCCTCTCTGCTTATTCATCTTGCTCTTCTTCTACTACCATCCTTTACTCTGTTGTCCAGACCCAATCCCTAAGTGAGTTATTTATAATAAGGGGCTGTATAGAGGTAATTTACATATAGAAAAAGTGTTTCCCTTTCCTTGAGTTGCTGAATTAGTGTGTGTAGGTTACTTTAAATAATGATTTGCCATTTGGAGGCCTTATGTTTTGCTGGCGTTGTTTTTTGTTTTAAGTTCTGTTTTGGGTAACTTTGGTGTAGCACCCAACATGCCTCCAGGGGTGAGGTGGGCACCTTCCTCTGTGTGTGAACCAGATTAGCATGGTGTGACCTCTCTCTCTTTCCCCCACTAGAGTGAACACTTTGTCATGGAGATGGGGAAGCCGCCCATAATATTTGAAAACCCAATGTATGCTGCCAGAGACAGTTCTGTTAAAGTGGTTCAGCCACCCCAGGTGAGAAATCATACAGGCCTTTCTTTCAGTTACTGCTGTTGCTGGACCTTGTTCTATTGAGTAATGTCCTCTTGGATTCTCCTAACCTTCCTTCCGTTTGGAGGGAAGGTAGCATGATGAGCAGACTCTGCCTCAGCTTTATCTGCAGTAACAGGACCCACCCAAGGGCATAAGACCTGAACACAATCAGCAGCACAGTTGTTGAGGTGTGGCAGTCATGCTGGGGCGCTGACCAAGAACCTTTTCATCTGAGTGGTGTCAGAGCAAGAAACCTGAATCCCTTCAGAGGCCTATAAACACACTGTTTGATACCCCACAGGTTGTCTATCAATACTTGTGAAATGAATGAATGAAGGATTGTTAGGTCATTACATGGGGATTTTGGAGACTGGGCACACTCTCTGGTCCTAACTGGTATCATAAGCATGTGGTTTGAGTGAGTTAAAGAGAGAGACCTACTGCAATGGGGGGGGGGGGGCACAAAAATCCTGGAATTTATGTATAAAAAATCGTGCCTTCATTCTTATGTGTTTAAACTTTCTTCACCTTCAAAGTACTCCCCGTTTGATACAATACACTTATTGAGATGCTTTTTCCTCTGTTCAAAATAATTTTTGAATTCATAATTTTGATGCCTTTTAGTGCTTCTTCCAATTTTTGTTCCACCTCTTTCACATTGGCAAAATGTTTTCCTTGTAGGACTTTTTTCATCCGGGGAAATACAAAAAAAGTTGCTAGGGCAAGATTGGGTGAATAGAAAGGATGGGGCACAGGGATCATGCTATTTTGGTCAAAAACTGCTGAACACTCAGCGTGGTGTGGGCAAATGTGCTCGTAAATCACCCATTATGTAATGGGCAAATGTGCTGAAAGAATCTCCAAAAAATTTCATTGAAACTGAATGCAGCTTCTGACGCTAGCTGGTACACTGATGCTGATGGCTCCCTAGAACACTCACCTAGCAGTGGAAGCCTATACTACAAGGCCACCCCCAAAAGATAATTCTAGGTTTTTTTGTGTGTCTCTGTTGTATGCTTGCTGTTCCCATATTTTTCTGAAAAGTACAAAGCTGATGGGCAGCTATTTGAATTTCCTTTGGTGCATCCCTCATACCCAGCCATCTTGAAGAAGAGCTGGGAGGTGAGAAAGGAGTAAGCATAAAGAGAAAGAACTTTCCAGTAGGTCTGCATCAATAGCCCCAGAACCACTTCCAGCATGTGCCACATGTGAACCTCCATCTGCTGTCAAAACATCTATGGCCTCAGTGATAATAAATAACTTTCATTGTTAATGCCTAAACTTCTTTTGAACTCAAGGTATGGCACGTATTAGTATATATAAGATAGAAATATTTATATTGTAAGTAGCTTTCTTAATATCAAAAATGTTTGAATCTTGAGAACATTTCACTTGATCCTCAAGTAGCTGGATAGCAAAACTTTAATCACATGGTAAAACAGATTTGACATTTCATTTGGCACTCTCACTTGAAATAAAATGAGGCCATGAACATAAGCACATATCCAAGCTTGAGGAGAAACAAAGCAGTGAATGTAAAAATATAGAAATAGGAATAAGTTTTTAACCTTGTCATTTATTATATATTCATGATAATTTTGACTTAAGAAAGAATTATATGAATAATTGTATGTGTTGTGAATTATATGAATATTATAGAAAAATAGGTAGAGGAATATTAATTCTGTTATGCCCATTGTTCCAAAAATGCAGCTTCTTTTTAGCAGTCTTAGAAATTATCAATTTTCAAAGATAGGATTTATTAAAATCCAAAGAAATTTTTAAGAGCCAAAGACTGGATTTTCAGTTAACTAATGAGTTTGGAGAATTATTCATGCTCTTCTAGCATTTTGCTGCTAAAATATAAACAGAGTATCTTTTATCCAAAATGTTTGTCAATGCTAGGAATAAGGAGGTATAGAGAATACAGTAGAACTTGTTATTAAGACATGAAAGTGTGACCAGTGAGGGATGTATTTGCCTCCTAGGACTAAGGCATGAGATGACTTCGTGATTGGTGTTCTTGGTTTTAGGGAGATGGGAGTGGTGTTTAGTTGTGAGCTACTGGGTAGGCTCATATAATAAAAATGATTGTTGGCAATGTCTGTGGGAACACAAGGTGGTAAAAAGAACCAAAGTGTCAATGACAAACTTCAGTGAAAAGTTATTACTGAATTCTTTCAAAACTGAATAAGGGCCTCCAATGTGTCCACAGGTGTCTGTATCTGAAAATGTGGAAAATAAGAATTATGGAAGTCCCATAAACCCAGCTGAGATAGTTCCAGAGACAAAGCCAACTTCCCAGGGTGCTGATGGAACTCAGGTAACAGTTGCTGACTACTGAAATGATGTGGGATTTGAAATGACTGGGTTGTTATTGATTTTAAGCAAACTAGGGAGACCCTGACATGCTCACAGATCCCACGGTCTGTAGGCAATTAACAAAAGTACTTAAATTATAGATTCAAAAGCTTTCCACCAAATAAAGCTACATGCTAAAATTGAGTTGGGAATAATGTTCCTTGTAACGTGACAGACCATGACCCAAAGAGCAAATAGACTTCTGAATCCAGTATTTTCAGACCAGGGAAATTTAATTTGAGAAATCGACTTAGTATAAATAAGATTTCACTGTGTCAATGATACATATAAAACGCCCTTCTCTGTGTGATGCGATTTTTTCTACAGCGTGCATCTTATGTGTCTTGTTCTTAGCTCTTCTGCTGTTACCTATGATTACCACTAGATGGCCCTAGTTTACACCCTCTTTATCTGTGCATCTGTCCATCATCCATCATCTCATTGTCTAACCAATCTTACTACAAACATTATTGCTCTCGATGTACCAGGCATGATGAAATTAAAATAATAAAAGAACACTAGATGGAGCTTTTCTACTATGCCTCCAGGCCCTCTGCAATTTGTAGACTATTTGGTCGGTAGAGAGAAATTCGATAAATATGTTTGACATAAAACTCAGTATTAATGTATAAATATCACTAGTTGTAAGGTCAAATATACATCTACCTCAAATGTAACTATCTGTTTCTGGACAAACTGTTTTATCTCTGGGTACTAGAGTCCTCAATAATGTTCCTCACTGGGGCACTATCTGCATATTGGACGGGACAGTTTTTAGTGCTGCAAAACTGTCCTGTATGCTGCAGGGGATTTCAGTGGTCCCTGTCCACTAAATTGCAGTTGTGTCTTTCTCAATTCAGTGTGGCCCCAGAAATCACCTCCCCACACATGTGCGTGTGCCCACACTTCCACTTGAGAGCACTAGGATTTGGAATGTCTCAGCTCTAATATTCTATGATCACTTTTGTGAAGCAGTGTAAAGAAATAAAAGTCTAAGGGCAGTTAGAAATGTTACCATTGTGTACAAGTCTTATTTCTTACATTTTGTAATCTATAAACACATTGGTGTCTGCAAGGTTAATTTGGAAATCTCATTAGCTTTCTAACCATGAACCACCTCTGACATTGGTTCCTGTTCTGTTTGTTTGGATCAAAATAAAATTTGAACGAATTTGCTGCTAACAAGAAGAGCTTATATCAACGTCTCTGTTCATCTTTTCATATTTAATTATTTATTCCTTCTGCCACACACACACACACACACACACACACTCTCTCTCTCTCTCTCTCTCTCTCTCTCTCTCTCACACATACACGAATGTTATCTAGAAAAAAATTTTCATTTTCCAAAGAACTAAATTTTTTCTTTAACCAACATTAAAAATAGATTTTGAAGATTAGTTTTCCACACACACCTGAATGCTTGAATGTCATAAATTTAGTCCCCCACGTCTGAGTCAATCCCAAGTCAGTGCCAGCTTTATTTTATATTCTCAACATTTTTTTCTCAGTCCATTTCAAGGCGAGTGCTCTTCACAGATAGAGATATCTCCCAGCCTGAGCAGGAAGGGGAATTGGTGGGGAACCTGTGACTTGACTGGAATATCCATCATCTGAAACAAGATGAACACAGAAAGGCTCTTTCAAGTGAGAGCAGATCTTCACCAATTTTAGTCCTTGCTCATCTTTTTTTGTAGTACTTTTGTTCTTCCTCATACTTTTTAAACGCAGTTGAGGCTAAGACCCTCTGAGATTTGTCTTACATGGTATATCTAGGCGTCTTTCTGTATTTGTTGCCTCCTGGGAACTGAGATGAAGCCTGTGTGGCTTAAAAGCAGTCGAGGTCTCACAAATGTATCCTTCATCAGCAAATATGCTCTAAGGCCTAAAAGTTAAGATCATGAGTGCCTGGAACTCAGTTTTATTATTTTCCAAAGGTTGCATTGATATGTATGGGATCTCCCAAGGAGTAAAAATGAGAGTCACCACCCCATTTCTCTTGGTAGCACTGGCCTAACTCCAGGCGACCATTCCCTTCTGAAGCAGTGACTTGTATGAGGTTTGTCCTTCCCTTTAACTATGAGTGCCCAGAGACAGGGCCGTGGCCTGAAAGTCTTCATCCTCTTCTTAGTGATGCCATGTACAGAGTCAGCACTCCCTGGAATGTGGGTTAAAGTGAATGACCTCTTCTACTTCTCCTGTAGCCCTGTGTCTCCACCCCCCACTCCTCCGCATGTTGGTCCCCTGCTTTCAGAGGGCAAGCAACACCACATAAAATCTGTGGGCTACCTCAGTTCCTGTTGGGAGGAGACTGTCCCCTTGACTCCTGTGGTCAGAGCTCTGGCCAGTGCAACAGACGACGGGTGCCACTCGCCGTGGTCAAGGGTGACTCTCTGGGGGCTCTTCAGTTTAGGATCTCTGAATAATCATTGCCTGTTTTTCCACCTCGAATTTAGTTATTTAATCTTGCTGTGACTCAGCATCTGTAAAACAAGAATAATAAGAGTATCTGCTTCAAAGGGTTAAGAAAATTAAATCAGAAACTTATAAAATTCTTAGAGTAATCCCTGACACATGGTAAGCACTCAATAAATGTTAGTTGTTTTTGTTATTACCATGAATAGGATTGCAGGAGGGAATGAAGGGAGACGGGATGCTCTTGAGCTGACCAAAGATCAAGACATTACTTTAGGATATGAGAGTTACAATTTGACTTCCCCTCCAATTTTCAGGTAGCCCAGAAACATCTTTCTCCAGATGCATCTTGTGTGTCTCTGTTTTTTGTTTGTTTGTTTGAGTTTGGTTCTCATTCTGTCACCCAGGCTGTAGTGCTGTGGCACGATCACAGCTCACCGCAGCCTCAACCTCCTAGGCTCAGGCAATCCTTCTACCTCAACCTCCTAAGTAACTGGGACTACAGGCACTCACCACTACACCTGGTTAATTTTTTAATTTTTTTCAGGGACAAGGTCTCACTATGTGACCCAGGCTGATCTTGAATTCCAAGCGATCTTCCTACTTCAGCTTCCCAAAGTGCTGGGATTACAAGCATGAGCCACCATGTCTGACATGTGTTTTATTTTTTGCTCTGTACTGAAATAGCCAGAGTCATCTGCTTGTGGATACTATGGTACAGATTCTGTAAACTGTACATTTCAAATCAAATAAATATTTTGAAATTATTAGATAAAGAGCTCAGAGTTTCAGTTACTGTTAAGGGCCATAGGAAAAACTGAACTATTTGCTCCTTGGGCGAAATCACATGGTCTTAGGTCCCAAATTGCTTTGTCCTTCAGTGAGAAGAAATTTTAAAATCTAGACAAAGGGAAAAAATTCCATTACTGAAAGTTTTTTGTTTTCCCCTTTTCATTTAGGTGACAAAATGGAATATCTTCAAACGAAAACCGAAACAAACTACCAACTTTGAAAATCCAATCTATGCAGAGGTAATTTTTAACAATTTTTCTTAGCACAGATAGTCTTTCTTAGAAATTTGCTTGGCTAAATTGGACATGCACTTAGATTATTCTGAGCAGACTGGCCACAATTAGACTTCTTTGTGAAAAATCGTTTCTAGTCACATTGGAGAAATAAATGACTGATTCTTGTTTTGTCGTGGTCTTAGATGGAGAACGAACCAAAGGAAAGTGTTGCTGCGGCCTCACCTCCATCACCTTCTCTCTCTGCTCAAACTCCTCCGAAAAAAGACCCAACTCCAACCTATTCTCCAACAGAAGACACTTTTAAAGATACTGCCAATCTCGTAAAAGCAGACTCAGAGGTATAGCTATACCAGATACTTAGGGAATAATTAGAAACACACTTTTGCACATATATTTTTTACAAACGGATGAAGAAAAGTTAACATTCAGTACTTTATTAAAAAATATATTTTTCCTTGTCTGCCTGTAGTTGGAAGTGTCTTATGTGTCTTTTTTTACTTATGCCATCTCCTATTTTTACAAATAATGATCACGATGTACTATATGTATATCTTTGCACTGAAGCTGTCTGAAGGTAATACTATAAATATATTGTACATTTGTAAATTTTGGAAAGATTATCCTATTACTGAATTTGCTAATAAAAGTGTCTGCTGAATTGAGTGGTGATCATTATAGAAAATGATCCAATGAGAAAAGGAATTGACTTGGAGTCTTTAACCATGTCTGAAGAAGAGGTACCACTCATATTTCCTATAATATTACCCAGGAATGGAATCCAGGTCCCACTCTTGAGCCCATTATAGGACATCAGCACTTAACTAATGTTCAAGAGTCTGTGTCAACTTGATTAACAGTTGTATTGATAGAAGCCACTATGTGTTGTTTAGAAATGTGGATCTGACTGTAGTCACCTCAGATAATACAGAAGGTAGGAAAAGCAATTCAGTCTGGCCCTTCTGCATATTTGTATTGTCTAAACAGACCACTCTGTTTCATATGTGTTCTCTCACAAGCTGCCGAGTCAACATTTGTATTTGTAATGTCTGTGAGAAAGTCCCATGCCATTAACTGCAAGTGCCCTGCATTGAGTTTGTATATATTTGAATGAGCTCTTCTGCTTGATGGGCCCTAGAGCAATTTCCGCCCTTGCCTGACATCTCAGGAGGTCACCTACTCTAGCAACTGGAGCTCGGTAGCTGAATTACTAAAACCAAATCTGTGTCTTCATAAAGAAAGGTGCAAAACAAATACCAGTTAAGCCAAGCCTCCACTGGATTTTTGTTTCTCTGAAAATATCATTATGATGACTATTTATTTCCTAAGTTGAACATGAATAGAAAGGGAAAACCAGTCTTATTGAGCCTTTTTAGGTCCTTTGGCTACATCTGTACATTGGATCAGAATGTACTATACAGCCAAACTCTTCTCTTTAATATTACTGTGTTTTAGAGATGAAGTGTCGCTGTGTTTCCCAGGCTGGTCTTGAACTCTGGGCCACAAGCGATCCTCCGTTCTCAACCTCCCAAGTAGCTGGGCTTACAGGTGGGAGCCACCATGCCTGGATTCCAGCTCTTCTCTTGAATAGTTGGTATAGTCTCCACAACAGGAACCATGGCAGGAATTTACAACCTGGCTCTCTGTGCTATTACTAATATTGCACATTTGTTAAATAATGAATGAATGGATGAGTGGATGAACGGATGAAACAGGTACTACTGATTATTTTATTACTGAGTTCTCAAAATATTTGTTGTTCATATTTTGAGTGCTGATTGTAATTACTTTGAAATGTACTTTGATTAGAAAAGCAACTGGAAATGATGCTGCTGAAAAATTTCTAATAAATGTGTATTTTATCAGATGTTGTCTGTGTACTTTGTAAGTCCCGGTCATGAATCAGTTGTATTTTGCTGTGGAGAAAGCTTGGGGCTTTGAATGCTCTCAGTCACCTTAATTCTACACCACTCCTTCCTGGAAGAGAATCTAGAGCAACCTATTTGAAAAGCAGCAAGCCTCTGCATTCATCTTGTTTGTGCCCATGATATTCTAGAATAAGCTGATAGGAAACAAAACAAACAGGCCTGCAGAAAATAGTAGGTATCAGAGTCCCTTGTAGCCATCAATATGGCGGCCCTTAAATGCTGTTCATGGCTAAAACAGACCAGGGAAGGAGGGCAAATATTCCTGCTCCTCTGATAGCTATTGTTCCTCTAATGATAGTTATTTGCTAAGAGGGCAGTTTGCCAGCAAGCTTCTGTCAGCATAGGGGACAAGCCATCTTCCTGCTGTTAATCTCTCTGAGCCTCACTGCTGCTTCTGTAAAATAGGGAGGTTGGTTGTGGGAGTCCGATGTGAAAATTCATATAGAGGATAGCACAATGCCTGGTGTAAAGTATGTCCTCAATTAATAGTAGCCATGGTTATTTTACGAAGTAGAGGGGAAATGAAAAAGCAATCTACGTGTTTTTAAAAGCTCCTCAGGTAATTTTTAATGCACAGCCAGGGTTGAGAACTACTATTCTAAATAGAAATGGCTGCTTTTCTTTATTTTTTAAAGGAAGAGGTTATGAAGGGGTTCAGGATTTTATCTGGGCCTTTGATGGGAGGCACATATCTTGTATATAAGGCTCTAGTGGAGATGATAAAAAGCTTGGTCTTGTTTTATTGTCATTTGAGAATGATAAGAAAGGCAGTAAACACTCCTGTACTTGTGAGATAGGAAACCAAGGCTGAAAAAAAAAAGTGCATATTTAGATCACTGCATGGGGAACTCCTGGCTAAAATATGCCCTTCGTGGGTCCTTTCAAGGGCTCTTGTCTTATCAACGATTCTTGTTCAACAAGCTCTCTTCCACAGAGTTCCATGTCTAGCCCCTAGCACCTTTGTTGAATGAAAGAACAAGTTGACTTGTGATTGCATTCTATCCCTTCCCATGCTTCTAGACTCAACTATAAGGGACTTTTCTTTCATTCTGTTCTTATTTGTTAGTTTCCCTAAGTCCAATTGTAGTTGTAATATCCTTAGGAGAAATGTAGGGGCCAAGGGAATGGGAGACCTTGGAAAGTCCAGGGCCTTCCCTGATGGTGAAGAGATTTTTACTGCAAGGACAGGTAGGGCATGGTGTATTCCAATGGTGCAATTGTATAATTTATTGCTTCTAGGTTTCCATTTGTTGAGTTTTGGAAACTTCTAAGAATAAAGTGTTTGAGAGGGAGGGATATTTCAGTTTTAGAATATAAGCAACCCTGGGCTTTGCCACTATTCTCTCAAATCTTAAATGGAACAGACTCATTCAGTGGAGGACAATGGCGACTTTATTTCCAGCGTATGTACATTATGAAGATAGTATCTAGGTTTTGGGCAGGGGAGTCCATTTATCTGTCTTTGGCCTTTGCCAAGGGCCTTGTTTGAAACCATGGATACAAACTCCAGTCACACTGACAAGTAGCAGTTCTCATGGAGCGAGTGGGCACTGACTGACTGGGCTTGCGACCTTGAGTCTGTCATTTCTCTTTGCAGTTTAGTAGCTTAATGTGGAAAATGAAGGGATTGTGCAAGGTTACTAAGCTTCCTAGCTTTCAAATGCTGTGCTTCAGTGATTGATCTCTACTTCAGTCTTTATTCGAAATGTAGTACTTTAAACTCACTGCAGCTGTCTCAGTTCTAAGCTTGTTTCAGCAATTTCAAAGAAGGCAGATTCAATTATAGCATCTTAATTTTATATCTCAAACGCTGTCTCTAGGTGAACTGTTCGATGCATTTTTTCATGTTTTGTTTTGTTTTGTTTTTTAAATATCTGAAAGCCTGCCTGTCAATTTCAGGACTGAAAATTGCCATGCCAGGTTCCTTTTTGCAAGAGACCCCTGTGAACACCCTTTATAGATTCAAGGCTTCAGGGGGCCATGGGACCATACTGAATTTTCTGAGGCACATGAAGGGGCCCTAAACAGGGAGTGAAGCTGGTTGGGGAGAAGTAGCCCCCTGTGAAGAACCAATGGCATCCCACTGACTTCTGATAGCATGGGAGGCCCATGAACGGGCTTTGGATCAAAGAACGAACTCAGAAGTAAAATAAACTAATCATGAATTGTTTTATTCTTTGGAAGTTGAACTTGATTTTTTTTTAACCTTTAAATTGTGGTCAAATATGCATAACATACGATTTTAAACTTGAGTTTTATCATCAATTTGGTATCTGGGGGATTTTTTGTTTTTGTTTTTCAAGATGGCCTTGGAAGGCTGCCTATGCTGGCTTTGAAAATCACTGAGCCATGGTATTCTTTTCTGATATTCTGACTGTGTCAGAGTCTATGAAAAGATGGCAGGAAATGTAGCCCAGCATGGCAGGAAATGCCTTAGTCAGCCAAGATGTCCATAAGAGTTGTTTGTAAGAATGGATCAAGGCTACAATAGTATGTAAAGGCACCAATGTTAATAACTTAAGGAAATGGCTACCAAGCCCTGGATTAAGATATTTTGGAAAGTGAACTAAAGTTGGAGCCCATAGATATGAGTTGGAATCATGACTCCTTCCCTAAATAGCTGACTGATCTTGGGCAAGCTGTTGAACTTCTCTGGATTTCAGTTTCTTACTGTTTAAAATGGAGAGGTTAAACTCCATAGGGCTCTGATGAAAATTATATTTATTTATTCACTCAGCAAATATTGAGTGAGCACCTACTATGTGCCAGGCAATAGTATCAAATAGTAACAGGTAGCATTTACTGAGCACTTTATGTGAATTATCTCATTTAATCCTCCTGGATTAGATTTATAAGTACTAAATTTTACAGATCTTTTTACAGAAGACTGAGATAACATATAGGAAATTATAAAGCACAACACAATATGCTTTGGTACAAGCTCATAGCCTAGGAACAATGTATCTTGATTTCCTGCATTTCAATTCTAGTGGACTTGGAGTGACCGATAAGTCCTAGTAACAACAATAATAATAGATAGTTATTGAATGTTTTCTATGTTCCAAAACAGCTTCTAAACACTTCCTAAGTATAAACACATTTATTTAATCATCCCTACAACTCTGTGAGGTACCAACAACTATATGAGGTAGATAATTACTATCACCCTGTTTTACAGATGAAGAAACTGAGGTAAGAGAGATTAAATAACTGGGACAAAGTCTCACAGCTATTAAATGCTACATCCAGGACCTTAACTTGGGCACTCTGGCCCTTGAGTTGTCACCCTGCATCATTATGCTATTCTGAGTTAAAACATACTAGCAACAGGGGAAGGAGGCAGTGGTTAATGATTTGGCTGCCCTTTGGGTGAAACCTTGTCAAAACAGTTTCCTGAGCTAACAAGAGGAGACAGGAAACTAACTAGAAACAATTATTCCTTAGGTAGCTTATTAGATCCACTAACAGTTGTATGCATCTGACCAGCTTCTCATATTTCTCCTCTCTTTTTCTCATTAGAGGGAAGGGGGAAGACTCCAGGTTCAGATTCGTAGGGTAAACACCACATTTCAAAGGTTGTGTATTCCAGAAGTCTTTTTTTTTTTGTACAAATTATGGGGCACATGAGAAGCTTTGTTACACATATATAATACGTAGTGATCAATATAGGATATTTAGGGCGTTCATCACTCAAGTACAATAATTTTTTGTTAAGTATAGTCACCCTACTCTG